ACTGTGCAGCCCAAATCCTGAATCCCACATCTTTTACCCCACATCCCCCATAGACCCATATTCTGCATCCCACATCCCGCATCCTGCCTCCCGACCCCACAGGAAGCTGTTTTATTAAGTGCTCCATAAAAAAACCCTGTTGAATATTTAAAAAAGGAAGAGCAATAAATACTCTGCTCTCTTATCGCAACGATCGCAGGCCCTAAATAATTGATCCCTGTAACTGTGAGACGGGCTGTGGCCAGCACTCCCTTCCCTCTGTGCCTTGCGTGCCACTGAGTGCCTGCCCCGCGGTCCAGGAGTGCCAGGTGGGCACAGCCCTGCGTGCTCCCCAAGGAGGGGCTGGGGAGCTGGAGACAGTGGGAGCACAGGCACAGGGTCAGTCCCTGATTCCCATTTCTCAGTAATTGGGAAGGGGTTAAGCCACTTGGGCACCACCAGTAAACTGCTTTGCCAGATGGCTGAGACCCCATGCTGGGCCACCGGCTGCCGGGGGGGCCCCGCGGGCCGATGCGAAGGTGGGCTGGGAGAGCCAGCATCCCGCAGCGGCACCAGGGATTGGATTTCCCCGCTGTAACGGAGCCTCCGGGCAGGCGCGGGGCTGGGAGCAGGGCCAGCCCTAAATAATTCAGGGGGAAGGCGGTGACAGCAGCGGAACAACCCCGGCAAGCAGCGTGAAAGGCAATGCGAAGCCGTGCCACACCTGGGCTGACACAGTGGGCATCGAGCAGGAGCAGTGACTGGTTTGGGGCTGGGTTTAGGCTGCAGGGGTTAATCCCAGAAGTGCTCAGGGCTAAGCTGGCACACCTGGGGCAAGGAGATAAAGAACTGGGGCTGGGACAGCTCTGGCCAGTAAGTGCCATGGGATCCAGGGATCTCTGTGGCCCTGCCTGGAGAAAAAGATGCAGGGCTCAAGTGTTGTGGCACCCAGAGACAGAGGGATGCTGAGTGTTGGTTCACATCCCGCTGCCTCAGGACTCCCTGGATGTGGGAGAGCTGTGCAATCCGTCTCATCCACAACCCTGGAGCCTTCCAGGGACAATGTGGAGCAACAGCGCATCCCCCCGGCTCCGCTTTGGCCGGGTCTGTGGGTTATTTCTAGTTATTTCTAGTGGCCTCTGCCCACCACAGGAAATCGGATTAGCGGCCACCTAATCACCTGCTGCAGCCTCGTGGCGAGGCCCGGCATCGCGGGCCCTGTGGACTGCTATGCCACGTAACCCAGGGACCAGCCCGGCTCCGGGTACCGCTCGGGAGGAAAAGCGGGGATGCTGCCGCCGCGGAGCCGTCTGAGAGAGGCTGCCATGTCCAGCAATGCCCACGGACCTGGGCAAGCGGAAAGGTCGTCTCCGGCGCGGGGAGCAGCCTCTCCTCGGCGGTCAGCCTAATCCATTTACATAACAGAGGGCGGACAAAGGCGGCTGTGTTATCGCCCCGCGCCAGGAGCCGACTCAGCGGCCAGTGACAATATTTCTGCCAGCGCTCGCCCCTCTCCTCCTCTCCCTTTCTTTCTGGGCCATAAAGAAGGTATAGCTGGCTGCCCAGCCTGATAACGTGGCGGCGTTGCCCTTGGAGCTAGGGGATCAGGGTGGCTGCAGCATTCGTCCCCAGTGCTGGCACTTTGCCCAGTGGCTGGAGGGAAGGTTGGGGCCACAGCAGGCACCCTGTTCTCCTACTAGTCCCTCTCCTGCTGGTGGGTGCCAAGCTTCCGGCAGACCCTGTCTCGCTGCCAGCAGCTGGGACCGTTACCTGGGGCAGTGTCCCAAAAGGAGTCGCAGGGAAGGGAAATCCCCTTTCACCGCGGCGTAGTGGACGGGCAGTGCTCCCGTGTTGGTGGCTGCCGTGGGGTCGCTGCCTCCAAAGCGGAGGAGCCAGTCGATCACCTCATGGTGACCGAAGCGGGCTGCCAGGTGTAGGATGGTGGCACCAGAGTTGTCTGTGTCCTGCAAGAGGAAGTGGGACGGCCGTCAGTACTAGGGACCAAGCCCTTCCGGCAAGGGGGCTGGGGACAGCAGGCAGCCGTGGGGCATTCCCCAGCCCGGAGCTGATTCCAGGCGGGTGGGGCGGCCAGGGTGGAGTTCCTGTCCGTACGGAGCGGGGCTGGAGCAGGAGCACAGGGCATTGGAGCGACCGTGGGACCAACGTGTCTGCCCTCCGTCAAGGGCCTGCGTCCGCACACAGTGAGTGCAGCACAATGCCCTCCTTGTTCTACCGGCCGCCGAGCCCCTAACTGCGGGAACTTGCCGCCGAGCCCCGCTGTGCCGCCGGCCCGTCCACCCTCCACGCTCGGTGGGGCGCGGGTAGCGCTGGCCCCTGGCCAGGAGGTCGCCGATGCGCGCTGACCCCTTCCTTCCCGATTAACCTCCGCTCCCAGCCCCGCCGCCGCCTCCTCTTCCTTCGGCCGTCACATGTCTTTAACTCTGGGCCGGCCCCGGGGCAAGCCGCTTACCGCCGCGGTCCCGCCGTTGTGTAACCCCCGGAGGGCGCGGCAGCCCCGGGGAATATGTGCTGCCCTCGCAGCCGAACCCCTGGGGGATGCCGGGGACTCTCCGGGTCCGTCGGATGCCGGCCGCTATGCACGGCGGAGCCCTGCCCGTGCCGGCTAGGACGGACCCCGGCTCGCCGTCGGCAGAGCTGGAAGCACCACGCGTGACCGTCTCCCCGCGGCCACAGCCACCCACACGGGACCGCGGAACGCCTCCCCGGCCGCCCGCGCCACCGAGGGACCCTCCGCCGCCCCCCGCGACCCCGCTCGCACCTGCACGCCGCAGCCCCCCTGCGTGAGCAGCCACTGGAGACAGGCGAGGTTGCCGGTGGCGGCGGCGTCGTGGGCCGGCGTGGCCCCGTTTCGCGCCCGCGCGTCCCCGCGGAGCGCGGCCTCGGCCGCCAGGTACCGGAGGCAGGCGAGGCGACCGGCGCGGGCAGCGTGGTGCGCGGGGGACGCGCCCAGGGCGTCCCGCAGCCCCGGCCGCAGTAGCCCGGCCGCCCGCAGCCCCCGCAGCGCCTCCACGTCGCCCTGTCGCGCCGCCTGCAGCGCCCGCTCCAGCGCCATCCCGGCGGCGGCCCCGGCCCCAGCGGCCCCGGCGGCGGCCCCGGCGGCCCCGGCCGCCGCTTGGCACTGTGCGGCGCTCCCGCCCCGCCGCCCCCCGGCCCGGCCGGCTCCTCCTCTCCCTCCCCCGGGGCCGCCCCTCCGCCCGCCCCGCCCGACGGCGCGGCGATTGACCGCTGCTCGGGACCCCCGCACCGCTGCCCCCGGCCTCCGCTGGTGCAGCCGCGCTCTGCCGAATGGCGGACGGGACCAGGACCGGGACAGGTGCAAGTCCGGGTTGACCCCAAGGCGGACCGTTCGCGGCTGCCGGCGCCGCTGTCCGCGGCCTTGTGTAGCGGCCCCACGGGTGTCCCCTCCCGCCGCCCGCCCAGGCAAGAGGTACGGCAGAGATGGGCTCCTCCGGCACCCTCGACGTGCGCTGCCGGCCCTAGCAGCGCAGGCAGAACGGGGGGCGCTGGGCGGGCGGCTGCCCCGCCTCAGCCGGCCGCGGGGTGCCGGCAGCCGGTCACGGTCCGCTTTGGTATCCACCTGGTCTTGCACCGGTCCCTGTCCCGGCCGCCACTCAGAAAAGTAGTTTTATGAATCGCTGGCTGGGCAGCGGGCGGCGTGGGAGGACACGGGTGGGGAGACCCTCCGTCAGGACCGCGGACAGCGGAGGTGCTTCTCGATCAGCACCGAGGACAAGGCAAGGCCGCCCTGCCCGCCTCCTTCGCTGCCTGTCCCCCGCCCTCCCTGCCCGGCTCTCCCGCCCTGCTCCGCCGAGCTGTGCAAAGTGAGAGCTCCAGCATTTCCGGCCCGCCGCGCCCACGGGCGGCTCCGTCCGCCCGCAGGCTCTCCGGTCCCTCCCGGAGACGCGCTGCCGCGCTCGCACTACCGAGAACCGAGAGATCGCGGTCGGCGAGGCCGTGAGTGCCGCGGCTCCCGGCACTCCGCGTCCCCCGGGCAGGATCCTGAACCCCCTCCGGACCCTGCGTGCGCTCCACTGCGAGCTGTCACTGCCTGCCTGGGACTGCCGCCACCTCCCGACCCAAAACCCCGGGGCGCCCACGGGAACTGTTACAACCGGAGAGAGCCGACGGCGCCGGGAACGCGGGTAGTGGGGGGCAGTGCTGCCCCTATCGACCCGAAGCCCCTGTCTCCGCACGAGTCCCGGAGCTGACAGGGCACTCCTGGGCGCGGCGGGGAGACCCCAGTCCCGGTGGGGTCACACGACTCCGCGGGCAGCCCCGGAGCCGCCCGGCGCCCCGGCTGCCCGCGGTGCCGGCGCTCCTCCCCGCGCGCTGTCCGCCAATGGCGCGGCCAGCGGGGCGTGCCCGGGGCGCGGCGGGGCGCGGCCAAGCGCGGCGGTGCCGCAGCGCCGCTGCGGGCGGGGCACCGGTGCCGCCATGTCGGAGCCGGGGGCCGCGGGCCCTAGCCCGGCCGCCATCCAGGTGTCCAGGTACGGCCCCGCCGCGGCCGGGGGCTCGGACAGGGCTGGGTAGAGAGGCGGGCGTGCTGGGGGCCGCGGGCGGGTGCCGGTCTGCAACCGAGATACTGCCCGCCCTGCTGCCGACATCGGCGGCACCGCCCGGTTTAGTCATGCTGTCAGTGACACCGGCCGCGGGCAGAGCGCAGCAGCGCCGCGCCCGTGCTCCGTGCTGCGGGGGCTGGGAGCGAGCAGGGCTGCCGTGTTCTCCCGGGCGCGGTTCTCCCGCCTGTGTCCCCACGGCTCCCGGGCACCGCCGCCCTGAAACAGCAGCTCCTGTCCGGGCCAGCGTTCAGCCGCTGCCTCAGTGCCCCCCGGGCCGTTATTCGCCGTTGGCAGAAAGCGCGGCTGCTGCCAGGAAGCCGCGTGGAGCACCGGCACGTGGCCGGCTCGGTCTGTGCCGCACCGGGGCCCGGCGGGGTGCGGCCCTGGTGAGACGCCGGCTGCCCTGGCAGAGGCGTCCTGCTTCCTTCCGCTCCCAGCAGTTAATTTGGAGGTGTTTCCTTCGCCGCTCACAGGAAACCGCATGCGAGCAGCGATGGCCCGGCAGCTCAGCCGGTGGGCGATATGCTGCCTCCGAGCAGCCACACCGGGGCTGGGCTGGGGGCGCGTCAGGGGTTGTGAGCTCTCATCTGCCTCCTTCGGTAGGATTATGCGCCCAGACGATGCCAACATCGCGGGGAATGTCCACGGGGGAACCATCCTGAAGATGATCGAGGAGGCAGGAGCCATCATCAGCACCCGTCACTGCAATTCCCAGGCCGGGGTGAGTAGGTGCCGGTGTGCCTGCCAGCCTCTGGCATGGTGACCTTTCACTCTCTGCTGTGTCTCAGGGCAGCAGGATTCTTACACTGGACATGTTTGCTCTTGAATGGAAACCACTGGCGTCTCTGGAGCTGGGGCAGGGTCCCAGTAGCTAGAAGCATTCTGCTGAAATTGTGGTTTACCAGCAGAACCATTATTACTCATTATTGCTGTTAATGATTTAACTCCCGAGAAAGGCAAGTTGGGGCAACCCTGGTGTTGGTTACAGATGGGGAAGGAAGCGCGGCCAGTGGCTGATAAGGTGGCGGTTGCAGTATCCGAGCCACACATGCCTGGCATGTTTGGCTGGTCTCAGGGAGCTGCCAGCTGTGGTCCCGCGTGGTGTGGCTGTGATCACTGTGTTGGCTGTCTCACCATCCCCAGGAGCCCTGTGTGGCTGCACTGGCACGGGTGGAGCGGACGGACTTCCTCTCGCCCATGTGCATCGGCGAGGTGGCCAACGTCAGTGCTGAGATCACCTACACCTCCCGGCACTCTGTGGAGGTTCAGGTCAACGTCATGTCTGAAAACATTTTAACAGGTGGGTGGCTGCTGGTGGCTGTGTCCCAGAACACCAGGAGTAACAGTGTTAAGCCAAGAGCTTGCAGCAGTGACCCCATCCTCTGTTCCATCACTGGCAGGATGTGGCAGAGAGGAGATCTAGTGTGTTTATTGACAGAGCTGGGAGTGGAGGGAGGGCTGGTGCTGGGGAGGCAGGCCAAGCAGGCTCCCTGGGATTTATGGCTCCATTGTAGTGAAAAACAGCAAAATCTGTTTGTAGCTCTTCCTGCCTGATTTGCTGCCTGTGGCTGCCTTTGGCCTGAAAAAGTCCCTTTTGCTGCTGTTGCTGTGACAACCAGTTCTGCTTGCTGGGACACCTTCCCAAAAGCGCATTGTCACATCCGCTAAGAGCTAAAACCTGGTAGGAGCCAGCAGGGCAAGGGGCCACAATGCCAGTGGCATTGCCAGTGTGTGCCCAACCCCAGACCGGTGGCAGGTGCAGCGCTGCTGGCCTTGGCACCATCACCTGTTGCCCCTTCTCCTCTCAGGGGCAAAGAAGGTGACGAATAAGGCGACACTGTGGTATGTGCCGCTGTCCCTGAAGAACGTGAATAAGGTCCTTGAGGTTCCCCCCATCCAGGTAGGACAGCTCACTTGGGTCCCCCTGAACTGGAGTTCGTCCTCCCTGTGGAATGACACTAACCTGGCCCTGCTGGCACTCCCAGCTGTGCCAGTGGCTTTGCCAATCCCCTTCTTACTAGCCTTCTATTCCAGTATGCGAGAAAGGAGCAGGAGGATGAGGGGAAGAAGCGTTATGAGGAGCAAAAGCTGGATCGTCTGGAAACGAAGCAGAGAAATGGTGATGTGATTTTACCTGTCATCAACCCAGGTAACACAGGCAGTGTGGAGCCAGTGCAAATTTCCCAGCAGTACTGGGAGACCAAACTGGTCTCCAGGGCAACTCTGGCCATCCCCAGGGCCCTGTAGCTGCAAGTGTGCATTCTGAAACACCACACCAGGGATGGGGATGGGATTTTGGAGTAGCAGTGTGTGAGTGGAGGGGGAGCTGAGTGGATACCTGTGGTACCCTGAATGTGGATACCCATGGATGAGATCCCCTCTCCAAAACCCTGTTCCTATATCACTCCTTGTGTGCTTGTGTGCAGCTAGAGCTGATTTTGCTCAGCAAGGCATAAATGCAAGTGCTGGGCAAGGGTGGCCTCTAGGCCTAGCTGTGGTCTTCCGGCAGAAGTGGAGAGGTGGCACATGAGGGATGTTGGGGGAGGTGATGGGGAATGAAAATTGCTCAAACGCTTTTTTCTTCTCTGTCCTCCCTGCTCACAGACAGGCAGACAAAAGGTAAGGTTCAGTGGGCACTGCTCCATGGGTGGTCACCCTGCGTGGGACTGGGCTGCTTTTCCTTTCTCTAAGCTTCTTTAACATCTCTCATTAGATAGAAAACACAGCCACTTCTGAGAGAGGATTTCCTCTGCTGAGAGTTTGAGGGTGTGACTTCTGTCACCTGGAGGTTGTGGTGGGACAGGGGTCACCAGGATGTGCCAGGGCTGGGGGCATGGGGGTGAAGGTCTTCTCACCAAGGGGAAAACAGGGGCTCTCTGCAGCAGGGTCTGGGTGGTTCAGCTGAGGGCAGAAGCAGACAGCCGTGTAACCCAGTTCACTCCTGTTTGCTTTCATGCTCTTTGAAAGCTTGAAAAGAAAGAAAAAAGCTGAGCTAGAATAAAGTGGATGGGTGGAGATTAGAGGGAGGCAGCAGCCCGTCAGGTGGTGAACAGTCTATGCTCTTAGAACTTCTCCAGCCTGATTTAACCACTGCTTTCAACATAGTTCAGCTTTGCACAAGCCAGCCCCATGTCTTCTTCCTTTGGACAACTTAAGACAGTGGTGTATGGTGTATGAGTGCCAGCTGAGTAGCTCTCACCTTGCTTTGCTCTCTAACCAGAGCCACACACTGTTGGCTACAGCCAGTCCAGCCTGATCCATCTGGTGGGCCCGTCAGACTGCACGCTGCTGGGCTTTGTGCATGGAGGTGAGTGAGCACTGCCCTGCACAGCACCTGGTTGCAGGTTTGCATGGCTTTTCCCTGGAGCAAAGTGTGGTGACTCTGTTTTTGGTGGGCTCTGCCTGTGGAGGCACACAGGCCCCTTTGCATTGACTGCCAGGGTCAGAGTTGCTTTAGCTGAGACAAAAGCTTCGTCTTTTTCTGTGCCCTAAAAACTCATGTACTGAAACTGTAAATCCTACAGTTTTGTCATTGCCTCTGAGATTGCAAATCCTGTAGTACAAACACGCAGCGTGTGACTGCAATTACCTGAAGTAACTTTCTCTTAGCTGGCACGTGTAGTGTAAGCCCTGGGAGAGGTGTGTTTGCTGAGGGTTGGGACAACACACACCTAAGCCTTAAACAAAACAAATATTGCTCAGAGCAGTTTCAAGGTTGGTGGGACTGATCTCACCTTACAAAGGTGAGGTTTGCTCAGAGAAATTTGGGAGAGACAGAGCTGACCTTAATCACATGTCTGTGAGCAGGTTGCCCTGGTATTGACAGGAGCCATTGTACTGGATTTTCCTGAAGTTGGGACTTGTCTCTGGTCCAGCTCCCCTGCATAGCTTTGGCCATGCTAAGGCCTTACTGACCTTGGTGTGGTTTTCCTGAAATCCCACTGACTTCCTTGAGACAGGACCCTCTTGCTTCCCCTCACAGGTGTCACTATGAAGCTCATGGATGAAGTTGCTGGGATTGTGGCTGCCCGCCACTGCAAAACCAACATTGTCACTGCCTCGGTGGATGCCATCAACTTCCATGAGAAGATCAAAAAAGGTACCAAGGGTAGTGGCAGTCACTGTGATCTCCTCTGTTGCCACACCCTGGCTCCCTTGGATGTGCTTTCAGGACATGCTGGCAGAGAAAATTAGTCCATGTTTGATTAGTCCCTGCTCCGCTTAAGACACAGCTTAAGCATAAAACATGCAGGGCCCCTTGCTCCCTTCACTGGCTCCTCTCTGTTTCACAGGCTGCGTCATCACTGTCTCAGGACGTATGACATTCACAAGCAATAAATCCATGGAAATAGAGGTCTTTGTGGATGCTGACCCCTTTGTGGATGAGCCTCGGGAGCGGTACCGTGCCGTCAGCGCCTTCTTCACCTATGTGTCCCTGAGCAAGGAGGGGAAGCCCCTGCCTGTCCCACAGCTGCTGGTAAGAGCTTTTCTCTCTCAATTGGACCCAGCAGGGCCATCACCTCTTCTGCTCCTCCTGGGGCAGAGCCCAGCCCAAGAATCCTCTTCCCTTGAGTTACTCAGCAGAAAAATATGAGCATGAATGAGACTTCTAGGACAGGCTTCAGGGGGTTTTTGCTTGTTTTGTTTTTGTTTTGGGGTGTTTTGTTTTTGTTTTGATTTGACATTGTTTTGTTTTGAAATTGGTATGTTTGGTTTTGTTTTGGTTTTGGTTTGATGTTTTTGTTGTTCTGATTTGTCATGTTTTTGTTTTAGTTTGAAATTGATTGTTTTTGTTTTGTTTTGATGTTGTTTTTGTTTTTATTTATGTTGCTTTTGTTTTGCATTTGTTTTGTTTTTGTTTTTATTTTTTAAATTGCTAGTGTGAAGGTTGAGGATTTTCTTCTTTCTCATTGCTGAGGACAGGCTGCATGCAGGCCCTGCCCTAGGGGACCCTGAGTGGCAACAGAGGCCTCCACGTCCCTAATTGCTGCTCCCCGTGATGTCCCCATTCCATCTTCCTCCCTATATTATCTCCCCTAATGCTGGCAGGGCTTTGCTGACGTACTGCTCCTGACTGGGGGGGTGTTGCTTAATATTGGATTTGGCACTGGTCTCCTGCTTAATGCAGGGCACTGGCTGTCATGTTGTGTGTTTGACAGAGGGCAGCTTTTCCCTCACACTTCTGTGAGGGGAGGTGTTTCCCTCCCGCACACACTCGCAGCACACTGATGCTGCAGCTCTACACTCTTTCTGTGACCTCAGACAGAGACAGAGGACGAGAAGCGTCGCTTCGAGGAAGGGAAGGGCAGGTACCTGCAGACCAAAGCCAAGCGGCAGGCGCAGATGCAGCAGGCTGCCCAGCAGTGACCTGCCTGGCACCCTTGCCACCAGCGCCCACCAAACATACAGGTTGTTCCCGTTCGTTTTGTGTCCGGCCCGCGCCAGCCCCATGCCTCCACCCGCCCCAGCCTGCTGCCGGCTCCACCGCTTTGCTGCTGCTGGGCTCAGCACTGCAGACCTCGTGCTTCAGGTGGCTGCAGCTCCCTGAAAGCCCCCAGGAGTCTTCCCAGGCACTCACCATTTGCCTCCCAGAGCCATTGTTGCTGTTTGATCCCGTTGGCGACGCTCCCGCCTGTGCCAGAGCCAGGATGGAGGCGTGTGGTGGCTTGAGGGGCGCGTGAGGCCGCGAGTCTTTGTGCTGCTGTGTTCGACTCGCTGGTTTGTCCTACCATGCACACCAAAGCTTTCGTCCGTGCTGTGCCGCGCCGGGGCCGCACTGAATGTCTGTGACATCTCTAGGTAGTTCTCTGTGCATATCTAAGTTATTTAAGGAATCCTGTGGCATAAATAAAATCTGTTTCATTGACTGGAATGAAAGGCTGACAGTTTTATTTCAAACAATTGTGCTTTTCCTCCCTCCCCCAGATCCGCCCGCGCTCCCCAAGTGGCGCCAGGCGCTCCCGGCCTTGTTTTTGAGGAAGTGTGGCTTTTGTAACGGGACCCACAGGGCAGTTCCTGCTGAATGGGTTCCCGGTTTGGGATATTAAACAATAAACTACCAGGCAGGAGGTTGTAGTGAGGTGGGGACTGTCTCTTCTGCTGTGCCTGCAGTGCGAGGACAGGCGGTAATGCCTTTAGGCTGACAGACTGGAAATCCAGAACAGGTACCACCAAATATTTTCCCCGTTCGGGTGCTCAGGGCAGCAGCAGGAGGGGGATGGAGTCACCATGCCTGGAGGCGTTCAGCAGCATCAGCGCCTGGCGCTGGGCGATGTGGCTTAGGGATTGGAGTGGCGGTGCGGGCGGGCGGTGGGGCGGGATGACGGAACAGGTCCCCAGCCCCGACGGCTCCGGGACCGAACCCAAACCGGCCCCGGCGGCCGCGTCCCGCAGCACCGGCCGCGTCCCGCAGCGCAACTCTCGCGAGAGCCGCGCCGCTCCGCGGCTGCGCGGGGCGGGGCTCTCGCGAGAGCGGCCAGGCCGTTTCCCGGGCGACGCGGGCGGGGCGGGGCCGCCATGATGGCGGCGGCGGCGGCGCGGCGGGGGCGGCTGGGCCGGGAGGGCCGCGCCAGCCTTTGCTCCTTCCTGCTCGGCGCCTCGGTGGCGGCTCTGCCGCTGCTGCTCGGCTCGTCCCCCTCCCTGCTGGCCGCTCCCGGCCTGCGCGGCCGCCTGGCTCTCGCCCTGCACGTGGCGGGCGTCAACGCGGCGCTGCTGCTCATCTATCCGCGGCCGCTCTACAAGGTACGGGGGTGGCCCCGGCGGGCGGCGGGGTGGAGTGCGGCTGTGGAGGGTTCGGTCCCGGTCCCGGGGTGCGCCGGTAGGGATGCTCCGGGCCCGGGGAGCGGCGGCGGCAGCGCGTTCTCCCCTCCCTGTGCTTGCAGATCGCCGTCCGGGCCTGTTTCTTGGGCTTCGCCTTCGGCTGCGGGCTGCTGCTGAGCGCCGGCCGCTCCGCCTGGCGCCACTTCGGATGGTAAGGGCCGGGCACGGCAGCCGGGCGGGCGCGGTGCCCCCGGCCCTACTAAACCTGCCCTCCCTCCCACCGCAGGTATATGTGCTCCCTCTCCCTCTTTCACTACTCGGAGTATCTGGTGACAGCCATCAACAACCCTCGCAGCCTCTCGCTGGACTCCTTCCTACTCAACCACAGCTTCGAGTACAACCTGGCTGCCCTGTCCTCCTGGGTGGAGTTCACGCTGGAGAAGCTCTTCTTCCCAGGTCGGCCACGCTCTCCCTCCCTGACTCTTGCCTAACTGCACGTGGCTTGCCTGGGGTTCATCTGTCTGGCAGCAAAGTGCAGGTGACCCGCAGCTTGCTGCCCCGTGACAATCCTGCAGCAGAGCCATAATCTTTGCCAGAGCCATAATCCCTCAGTGCTCAAAGCCTCTCGGGTTGGATCTCAGGAGGGCAGGGAGGAGTCCCCCCTGACTCTGACATGCCAGGCCAGGGGATCTTCAGTCCTTTCCTGCCTTGGTGGTGCAAGAATGATGTGTCAGATACACCTGGGCATTGCCTTTTGACAGGAATAATATCAAGTCATCAAAATGTGTTGCTGATTGCCCAGTCTGGGGCAAACTGGCAGTGCTCATATGTTTATTAATGGGAGAGGGAAACTATTCCCCTTTATTTTCTAGCAGCCTGAGTGTGTCCTTGGCTATGCTTTGTGTTGGCTTTGCTCAGCCTCTACAGCTGGGCCCCACGGACTAATCCATGTTAACAACAAGCAGGGGTTGCTGGTTTTATCTGTTTGGTGCAGGATGGCAGCGCATGCTTGCTGCTGTCACGCATTTTACTTTGAGAGGGCAGGCAAAGCCCACTCACTGAGCAGCCCCCTGCATCCCTGGAGACCTGTGCAAACCTGTTGTACCCCTCCCTGTCCATGCAGAGCTGAAGCAGATCACCTGGCTGAGCACTGTGGGGCTGCTGATGGTGATCTTCGGGGACTGCCTGAGGAAGGCAGCCATGCTTACAGCTGGCTCCAACTTCAACCACATCGTTCAGAACGAGAAATCTGACACCCACACTTTGGTGACAAGTGGGGTGTACGGGTGGTTCCGGCACCCATCCTACGTGGGATGGTTTTACTGGAGTATTGGAACACAGGTACTGTATCCAGCGTGCTCAGATTCATTTGGGTCACGACCCCACTCTTTGCTCTCAATGCTGCCCGTGCTGTGATGGGGTGCAGACAGCACCTGGTGCTGGGCATGGATTCTGCTGCCTCCCACTGGCACACAGGAAGTCAGGAATCCCTGAGTGCTCTGCCCCAAGTGATCTTTGGGAAGATCTTGTTCCTTTAATTTTCTCTGTGCAGTAAGGAGACGTGGTGGAGCCAAGGTTTTGAACCACAATCCCCTTGGAGGCTTGAGGTGTGATTTGCTGCTGGTCTAAAGCTGGTATCCAGAGTTTTCTGTGTCCCTGTGATCAAAATGCCTTCCCTAAGTGGTGAGACTCAGCCTGGCTCCTGCCAAACACCAGTCCTGTGCTTGAGGGCAAGGAAACTCCCTGACTAGACGGTCAGCTCTGGCCAGCTGTGGCCGAGCCTTAGCTCAGTGCTGCTGTAGCTGTGTGCTCCTGTGGCTGGCTGGGTGCTGGCATTGGCTTGTGTTTCTCTGGAGAGAGTCCATAAGGGTGGCACATGGAGCTTTTGAGAGCTGGGACAGTGAAGCCAGTGCTGACTGTGCACTGCTTCTTTTATTCTGGGGAGGAACTAGTGCTTGCGAAGTTTCCCAGGGAGTGTTGGGGTATTTTCTTTCTCTTTGTCAATGCTACTGGAGGGGGATGAGTTGTGGGGCCTTGTGTTCTTGAGGGGATGCTCACCAGCAGCATCTGTTCCAGGTGTTGCTCTGCAATCCCATCTGCGTGGTGGGCTACGCACTGGCGTCCTGGCGCTTCTTCCGGGAGCGGATCGAGGAGGAGGAGATCACACTCATTCACTTCTTTGGAGAAGAGTACCTGGAGTACAAAAGGAAGGTGCCATCGGGTCTCCCTTTTATTAAAGGAGTCAAATTGGAACTGTAACATGGGCAAAAACCAGGCTGGCTGAGCAGATGCCCAGCTCCTGCTGCGCCCAGTGCCTGTGTGGCGCCGGCATCGGGAGGTGCCTGCTGGTATTTCCTGGCCACCCAGGAGGAGCTGGTGGAGGGCTGCAGCGTTGGGCAGCCTGCTGGGTCACTCGCAGATCAGAAGCTCGTTCCTCCTCCTTGAGATCAGTCCTTCCTTGCACATTCAGGGATCTTCCAGATAACAGCCTGTAGCAATGCTAAAGAGAATGAATCCTGCCTGCAGCAGCTGAATTGTCTTGGAACGCCTCTGGAACTGATTCTACCAGAAAACAGCACTGCCCTCCTGGCCCTGGGTGGGGAAGGTGCTAGGCAGCAGATTGTTCCTGTTGCATAATTCGATTTTAAAGCTTTCTGACCTCGTGAGCCTGGTGACACGACTTTAATCTCCTCGGGCCAAACTCCTTGAGTTGGCACTGGGGTGGCCGAGGGAGCAGCCTCCAGCTCTGCCTGCCCTTGAAGCACCAGAGTGCCGGCAGCATGGCACCACTCAATTCTCTCCAGGCCTTGGGGTCTGCAGGGAGGCTTCTGCTGCTCCCCTTGTGCCACTGGATCTGAGCACCTCTGGGTCCTCTCCTCGTCCCTTGGATGCTGCTGTGGATGCAGTCTCACTGCTCCAGCCGCTGCCACCTGCTGCCACCTCTGTTCCTTCTTCCTGCTTCCAAATCGCGCTGCTTCCTATCCTGCCAGGCTGCCTCTGTCTTGCAGAGATCCCAGGATTTTGGGTTGTGAAAGAGCCACAGCTGCCAGGCTTGCTAAGGGCTTTAGTCTCTGAGGTCCTCCCCTGCTCTTTTGGGCAAAAGCTGTGATGTTAGGGCAAGTAGGAGATGCTTTTAGGGAAATCTCCAATGAGGAGAAGAGTTGGGCTAGCTAATGCTCTTTTATAGTAACCATTTGGAAATGGTTCCCACTGAGCTGTGTGGTATAACTTTGTTGTTATATACCAAAGAGGTTCACTGTTTTCTTGAGTTCTACATTATTCTTCCTTGCTGGAATGGAAATGAGTTGCTTGTCAGTTCATGCTTGGAGCTGGTGGTGTTCCATGGGGAAGGTGCTGCGGTACGGCTCAGGAAAGGGCACTTGGTGACAATAGCTTGGGTTTGGGTTTAGGTTTTCTTTTTTTATATTAAAAAGAAAAAAAAAGAAAAAGAGAAAACATTGTCAGCTTCTGTCTGGTTACTTGAAGGTCTTTTGAGGTGCTAGAATCCTTCCTAATTCCTGGTGGGTTCTCACTCAGAACACACCAGCACTGTGCTGAGGCACAATTGTGACTCAGTGATTTGTGGGGTTGTGCAACCACAGGGATGGGGCTGAACCTAACTCTGACCCCCCATTTCTCCTTGCTGAACTGATGCAGAGTCCATCCTCCACTGGGTTTGCTTGACCACAGAGCATCTGATGCCCTTGCTGCTGACTTGACCTTTGCTGAGCAGGGTTTTGGCTTGGAAGAAAAGAACAGAGATGAAAACTCACCAGTTGGAGTGCTGATCTGTGCTGAACACTTGGAGGCTCCCACTTGGGCTGTTCCTGTCTCAGGAAAGCACTGGTTGCAGGCAGTGGTGCCTCGAGCGGGTTAATCTGTAAGCAATTTTTTTTGTAGGCAGTAATATTTCTACTGTGCCCTTGATCAAAGGAACTTTGGAACAAGTAATTGTTACTTGGGTTTGATGTGCTGCTTGACAACAGAAACAAAGCCTCATTCCCAGATTGTTCTTCATAGTAAATGAACCTTGATCCTAATTTTGCAAGTGCTGGTTCCAGTTGTGCAGGCTCTGTCTAAGCAGGACGCTTTGGCACCGAAAGAAAGGGATAAACTTCACCCTGAGCAAAACCTTCAGTGTCTCTTGCTTTTGAGACCAGCTTCTCTTAACCTTTACTTTTCCCAAATCCACAGAAGGTCTGTGAGGAGACAGCAGCTTACCGGGTGTGGGGAAGGCATGTGAAGTTTCAGGGAAAAGCTAGAGTAAACTATGAACCCTGCCCTCTGTGCCACAGTGATTGGTGAGTTCTTAGTTCCCACGTGTGCAGGGAACCTCTAGAGCAGCTGTTCCTGCCACCCGGCCCATGTTGGTGTGTAGCTGCCCAGAACTTCACAGAATGCTCTGTGTACCCCTGGCCCTGCCCTGCACCAGCAGTTATTTTTTCCCCATAATTTGCCGATGTTGTGGTTTTAGGAGCTGGATACTCTTGGGCCAGCAGATCCCTTTAGTCAGCACTGCAGAACCACGCAGACATGGACAACTGCACCCTTTTATTTCACTCTGACACATGCAAAAACGAGCACAAAGAGAGTTTTTCAGAAGCAAGTCCACCTGAGGCCTTTGTATGTGCTGCAGACATGGCTGCCCAGGCTGCTCCCAGCCCTGGCTTGTGGCACTGGGCAAGAGGAGCTGGTCAGTGACTGTGGCATGGTTCTGCCCAGCGGCTCTGCCACGTGCCCAGCACTGAGCTCTACAGTACCGGCTCTTCTGGGGTAGCAGTCTCTGCTCCGCTCTTCTGCTGGCCCCTGCAGCAGTCTTTGTTTTTTGGGGAGGGGTCTCCAGGGGTGTCCCTGGGTATTAAGCCCTCCCCGAGGCTGGCTGAAGCCCCCTTGTTGCTGCCAGGTGAGGCATCCCTGGGGAAGGGAAGACACCTTGACAAGGTCACTGTCTGGGAAAGGGCATGGAAGGAACTTGGCACTCAGGTGCTTGCTGTCACCTACCTTGGCACCACTTCATTGTTGTCACAGATCTTGAGCAGCATCTGGGCCTGCTCTTCTCTGGGCTCCTGGGGCTCCTGCAGCCTGTAGCAGGATGGGTGTGAGCCATGAGCTATGTCCCCCCTGGCCCTGAAAGTCCCTGCACCCCTCACCTGGGCTCCAGCCGCTCTTTCACTTTGGCAATGGAGCGGACGTAGGGCGCAATCTGCTTGGTGATGGTGCTCAGGCAGCTGTTCTCCTGCCGCAGCTGCAGCAAGTCATGGAGCTGGGCTGGGGTGAGAGGAGAGGGCTGGGACACTGCCACCCCTACAGCGTGGACACAGGGGGCACGGGGAGGGAGTGTGGGGTCACCAGTACCTTCATAGATCTCCTGCTCATTTGCTACCCGCTGGTAGGTCTCCTCCCATACCTGGAAGGAAGAGAGGGAGCTGGGCAGTCTGCGGCACGGAGGGGCCCTGCTCTGCCAGGATGTGCCAGCTGTACCTCCTCAAAGACGCTGCGCATCATCTCCACGGCGGAGTAGTGAGCTGCGATCTGCACGTCCATCTGCAGCGACTTCTGCAGGATCTCGCTCATGATCTCTGACTTGATGAGCGAATGGTGCTTGGTGAGGTCTCGGTGCAGCTCCTGCACCTGGTCCTTCAGGCCCTGGATCTCCGTCTGCAGCATCTGCAGGAATCAAGGGGCACAGCCACATGAGCAGCACCAACCTGGCCCGTCCTGTCCTGTCCCATCCTGCCTGGGCCCATGCTCCCTACCCGGTAGGTGTTCTCGTAGTTGCGGCAGTGCTCAGCAAAGGGGGTCTCACGCCCCTCAGCCAGCAGCACCTTGGTGCTGATGTACCGGTGCATCGTTGGCTTCTTCACCATGGGGCCGGTGGACATTTTGTCACTCGTAGGGGGGCAGCTGGGCACCATGAGGGTCTTGGAGCATTGGCCACCAGTGAGCCTGCATGGAAAGGTGACAGTGATGTGCTGCAGGTGAGCAGCAGAGAGGCTGAGGTGCCAGGGACCATGCTGCCAGCTCAATCCCACCGCCCCCTGGTCATCTCCAGTGGGACACACCGGTCCCACATGTCCCTTCCCTCACCGGAGCACAGGGGTTCAGTCAGAGGTGCCTTATGTTGCCCCAGAAATATTTCTGTGGGCTGCTCTCCAGATTCCAGCAGTTTTGGAACCAGCTGTGGCAGTGAGAAGCCAGAAGCTCAGCCTGCTAGCCTCCAGTTTCTAAAGGGTGGATACAGCTCTCTCTCACCGCTGGTATCTCCTGGCCCCTTGGCAGGCACTACTGCCCCTGTGATTCCCCCCATCCCATGGTCTCCCCGTGCTAACCACCACCACCACCATTGGTCCTACCGTGCAGCGCCGTGCTCCCCCTGCCCGTGCTGGGGCCAGCAGCCCCCAGGAGCTCAGCCACCCTGCAGTGCCAAGCCTGGCTGGGGGCGAGGAGCGGTCCCCATGGGGCGGCAGTGCCCGTTTGTCCTCTCTGTCTGGGAGGGCCTGGCAGGCCCTGTGCTGCTGTGACATCAACAGGCCTAAATATATCCCTGGTGAAGAATGGCTGACCACTTCTCTGAAATTCTGATAAAAATAGTGGCGGGCAAAGAGGCTACGGCACCATGGGCATGTGGGCGAGCAGGAGCTGGCCCAGGTGGAGCACCCATGGAGAGGGGCCAGAGCCCTCTAGGGAGCGTGGCAGGGGCCGGGCTGGGGAACAGAGTGAGGCTTAACCAGGCCCCCAGCTGCCAGCCCTGCTGATGCCCACCCCTCTGCCATCCACCCTACTTCCCAGAAGTGTCACTTGAAGCCTGTTGTTCATCAGTGCAGCTGTGCCTGTGCTGTCCTGGTACCCCTGCTGAGGTGACAGGCTCAAGGGCAGCAGCACGGGCAAGGCTGGCATGGTGAGATGCTGAGAGGACCGTGCAGTGTGGCACGTGGCAGGGGACACAATAGCACGTGTGCCTTGGGTGCAATCCTGGCACCTCACATGTTCGTGCCAGTGATGCCAGGACCAATGCCACCAGCGCTGCCCACGACAGAGCGGCGGGGGCTGAGCATCAGGAGGGGCTCCAGGCAGCGGGCGAACTCTGCCCGGTACTCGCTGTTGATCTGGGGGGCAAGAGAAGAGAGTGTGGCTGGGCTGGGGCAGAGCTGGCAGCTGGCACTGCCCGCAGGCACTGCAGGCAGGGCTCTACCTTGCTGGTCTGGGCCGGCCGCAGGCGGTGTGGCAGCTTGACGATCCTCTGCAGCCTCTCCATCAGTTGCTGAAAGGCAGTGATGAAGCATGGTGAGGGGTGCCCAGCACCTTGCCCGTGAGCTCAGCAGTGCTGCAGGACGCTCCAACAACCCCTGCAGTGCTGGCAACACTCACATAGCCCAAGTCCAGGAATTCGGCTTTGTTGGCAGAGCTCAGGAAGGCTGAGCAGGTCACCAGGTGGACCTGTGTGTGTGGAGGGGGTCTGTCACTGCCTGGCTTTGGTGTCAGGATGTCCCTGCCTGGTGTGAGGCCCTACCTGCAGGGTGGGCAGCAGGGAGGCAAGGTGGGCGAGCTGCTCCTTGAATGCCTTCTCCTTTTCCTCGTGCTGGCTACAACAGAGCAGGGCATGGCACAGCCTTTGCAAGACCTGAGGGAGCCATCCAGCCCCATGCATCCCAAAACACCTTGGGAAGAGGGACAGCCCTCAGACAGGGCTCAGACCATGGTCCCTCACCTCTGCACAGCTTTCAGGAGTGTCTTTTTCCTCTCGGAGAGCTGCTCCTGCAAATGGCACAGCCACCCTGTGTCCTGCAGCCACCCCAGCCCCTTCCCACTGCCCTGGCTCTGTCCTGCGGCACAGGGCTGGATGTGCAGGTGACTGCCTCACACCTGCATGCGGCTGAAGAGGGAGTTGATGGCCGCCTCCTCCTCACTGGCACTGTTGCGAACCTCCTCGATCATGGCCTTGAGCAGGACAATGGCCTCGCGCGTGGAGGTCTGCAGTTCCTTCACAGCCTGCCCGGGGTGGCAGGGTGGTGTTGGAAAGGATGGGTCCAGTATTCCCCACAGGGTGGCTGCAGTGCAGGGGACAGCACTGCACCCCCTCCCCACCTCCACACTCCCAGCCCTGCCCACCATCACCGCCTGGTCCAGCCGCTGGCAGCCCTGCATGTACGCCGTCTCAATGTCGATGCAGTGTGCCCGGCTCTCCCTGCAGGCACAGACATCAGGGGGAAGCACAGGATAGGGCACGCAGCGAGCGTGGGGCTGGGGCTACTCACCCCTGCATGTCCCTGAAGCAGTTGATACAGAGCATGGACTTCTTCTCCGTGGAGAACATGATGTAGGGCTCCTCATGCAGTGCTGCAGGGGACAGGAATGTGACATTGCCTGGCACAGCGAAGTGAAGCATAGGATGGCGCGGGGTGAGGCAGCCTGGTGTGGCACTCACGGCACTTCTTGTGGATGTCTTTGGTGCGCTTGGAAAGGGAGACGATCTCGTGCCGGGCAAACATCCTGGCACGGTGGGTCTCCTCGCGGCATGGAGCACAGAGGGGCTGCCCACAGGTGTTGCAGAAGTACATGGTGTCCAGCTCCTGTGTGAGGGGACAGAGCTGGTGGCCAGCATGTCCTGGTAGGCGTCCCCTAACCCAGCCTGCCAGTCCACCCCGCTGCCCTCACCGCCTTGGTGCAGCACCGGTCACAGTTGGCACACTGCACGTCCTCCTCGCTGTCAGCTGAACTGTCCACCAGGAACTGCAGGAGCCGGTCCACGGGGGGCAGCCCCGTGCCTCCCCTCACCACTGAGGGGTGCCTGCGGGGATGAGATGGGCACAAGGATAGGAACACCCAACCAGGTCAGCAGGGCAGCTTTGGGGATGCAGGGAGCAGTGCTGTGCTGAGCTGCCAGCCCTGTGCTGTGCCCCAGTCCTGGTGTGCCCTGGGCAGGGCTGTCCCTTACCCGCAGAGTGGGCAACGCAGGCGACCATCGCTGGCACGGCCTCGCAGGCAGCTGGCACAGAAGTTGTGGTAGCAGTCGAGCAGGCAGGGGTGCTGGTAGGGCTCGTGGCAGAGCAGGCACACCAGCGGGTGGCAGTTGGCCTTCTCCAGCTCCGAGCAGCTCCCCAGAGGGGAGAAAATGCCACCTGCCATCTGTGGAGTTGAGAGCCAAGCCCTGTGCCCAGGGACCCCATGTGGCACCAGTTTGTGAGAGCACTATGGCTGCTACAGAAAGGACGAATCCTGTCCCACGGCCAGTGAGCTGCTGACTATTTTTAGGTTATGAGCTGCATGGCACGAGGCTGCCCCAGGGCACCCCTTCCCCTGGTATCACAGGCTGGGGGCTGCAGCGCTGGGTTGGATGGTCCCCACAGCGAAGTGTCCCCATGGTGTGTGTCCCCCAGAGCAGGAGCATCCCCTGGGATGGGCTATGTCCTCCAAAGAAGCATCATCTGCAGCCTCCTGCAGGACAGGGGTGGGTGTTCCTCTAGGACAGGGTGTCCCCCCGGAGGAAGCATTCCCTGGAATGGGGTGTCCCCTACCCACGGATGTGCCCTACAATGGCAGCCTGGCAGTGAAGGCAGCCAGGTGCCCCACATGCTGAGAGTCCCCGTTCTGGGCACAGGTGTGTCCTGGCCAGGTGAAGGCTTTACCTCTGCCTGTCTGTAAGTCGGGGGATCCGAGCCGAGCTGTGCTGCTGCTCACCGTGTGCCGGCAGGAATGAGAGCGATGCCGAGGCGGCAGGACCCTGTGACGTGGGGCCCCCTGGCACTGCCACGCCACGGCCCAAAAATAGCCCCGTGCGCTCCTCGGGGCCCTGCGGCGGGGACCGACACGGGACTGCGTATCCACCCAGGCTGCGGGGACATGGGCATCTGCATGGCCTGGTGATAGGCGCAGGAGCTGCGGGGGTCACCCAGTAAGCACCGAGGTGCCCCACGGTGCTGGGTCACTCCGTGTCCGGTGATGCTCCCGGGGTGCGGGGGTCTCTCGGTACACGGTGACGCTCCCGGGGTGCGGGGGTCACTCCATGTCCGGTGACGCTCCCGGGGTGCGGGGTTCTCTCGGTGCGCGGTGACGCTCCCGGGGTGCGGGGGTCTCTCGGTGCGCGGTGACGCTCCCGGGGTGCGGGGGTCTCTCGGTGCGCGGTGCTGCTCCCGGGGTGCGGGGGTCTCTCGGTGCGCGGAGACGCTCCCGGGGTGCGGGGGTCTCTCGGTGCGCGGTGCTGCTCCCGGGGTGCGGGGGTCTCTCGGTGCGCGGTGACGCTCCCGGGGTGCGGGGGTCTCTCGGTGCGCGGTGAGGNNNCGGTGCTGCTCCCGGGGTGCGGGGGTCTCTCGGTGCGCGGTGACGCTCCCGGGGTGCGGGGGTCTCTCGGTGCGCGGTGAGGTTCTCGGGGTGCGGGGGTCTCTCGGTGCACGGTGCTGCTCCCGGGGTGCGGGGGTCTCTCGGTGCGCGGTGACGCTCCCGGGGTGCGGATCAGCGCACGCGCGCCGCACGCGCCGTTCCCGCGCTCCGGAGGCCCCGCCCCCGCTGCCAGCCCGGCCGCTCGCGCCCCGCAGACCACGCCCCCCCGCAGACCCCCGCCCACACCCCGGCCCCCGCGCTCGCCCCGCCCCGCCAGGCATCACTGTCCGCTCGCAGGCTGCCTCCCTGCGCGGATGCGACCGGAAGCGATCGACGCGGTCGGCGCGCGGCTGGGCCGGCCCGAGCGCGGTTGTGCGCAGGCGCGCGGGGCGCGCTCCCTTTCTGCCTCGCGGGAGCCGCCATGGCGCCCGCGGTGAGTGAGCGCGGGGCCGGCTTCGGCCGCCGCCGCCCCGAGCCCGCGCCCGCCGCCGCCGCGACACCCCCGCCCCGCCCCGAGCCCCCGCCGCCCGTCCCAGCCCCAGCCCCGCCGCCGGCCCCCGCCCGCCGTTCTCCGCGTGGCGCCGGGCCCGGCCCGCGCCTTCCCGGGTCCCCGCGCGCCGCCCGCCGCCCATCCGGATGGCGGCGGCGAGCGGCGGGCGAGCCCCGTTCCCGCCGCGCTGTTCCCGGGCTCCATCCGTGCCGGGGCCCTTCCACTCTCCGCCGGCCCGGAGCTCGGCCCGGCCCCTCCCCGCCGTCCCTCACGGCGCTCCCCCTCCCTTTCTCTCTCGCTCACCCTCGCTCTCTTTCCCCCTGCAGCAGAAGAAGCCTGCGGTGAAAGGTGGCAAGAAAAAGAAGCAGGTTCTGAAGTTCACGCTGGACTGCACGCACCCCGTCGAGGATGGCATCATGGACGCCGCCAACTTTGTGAGTTCGGGGCCTCTCCGGGAGCCGTGATGGCTCCGCCGCCCTCGGGGGCCTTCCCAGGGTGATGCTCCGCTCCCAGCGGCCCCGAACGTCCCTGGCTGTGCTTCGGATCTGCCTTGCTTTCCTGAGGCCATCCCATGGGTGGAGGAAGAGGGGGTGCTGGGGCTGGGGACGAGGTTGGGTGCGGGACACTTTGTATCAATGTCTGCTGGGTGAGTTTGTGTCGTGGTGTCGTGGCGGGGCTGTGCCACGGCCGTGGATGCTGCAGTTTGGGGTCATGAACCTGTGCCCATCCAAACTGCACGCCAGCATGCGCCTTGGCCAGCCTGGGGCTGAGGGCAGCTCAGAAGAGCCTGAGCCCCCTGTCCTGGCTGTCCCCTTGGAGGGCAGGAACATGCCCCCCATGCCAGTCCGATCTGTCCAGGCCTGAGCCCCTCACCCAGGTGTGGCTTTGGTGGGGTGGATTAGCCTGGCCTGAGGAAGGGGCTCTCCCGAGCTGTGGGGACACTGGTGTTTGTTCCCCAGCTCCAGAGCACCAGGGAGCAGCCAGCCTGTGGGGGCTGTGCCTGGCTGGAGTTGTGGCCCCGCTCACGGCTCTGTTCCTCCTGCAGGAGCAGTTCCTGCAGGAACGGATCAAGGTGAATGGCAAAGCGGGAAACCTGGGCGGGGGCGTGGTGACCATCGAGAGGAGCAAGAGCAAGATCACGGTCACATCAGAGGTGCCCTTCTCCAAGAGGTGAGGTGGGGCTGGCCAGAGCTGGGCCCGTGGTCAGTGTGGCTGCAGATGGGCCTTGGCAGGGGATGACCGGTGTGCACTGTGGGCAGGAGCGGCTGGCAGGGAAGAGTTGTCTCAGTGCAGGAGCTGTGCTGGAATTTCTGCTACCTGGCGCTCGCTGAGTGGCTGCTCTTCCCAGGTGATAGATGAGATAGGAATGTGTTGGATATTCCAGCTGGGAAGGCTGCTAGGCTGGGCAGTGAGGGGGACTGCAGCCAGAAGATGCTGAGTGGAGAATTTAGGGATATCTGCAGACAAGGTCTCTCAGGTTGTTTCCTTTGTCTTCTGGGGCTTTGGTCCTCCTTGGGCTGACATCGGCAAAGTGTGGTTGTGCCACGATGTCCCCGATTGTTCCCCTCGTCCTGTGGTGCTCTGCCCACTTCTCCTGGCTGCCTGTCCTTGGGCTGGCAGCGGCAAACTGGGGTTGTGCCGTGGCAGAGGTGGCTCAGGAGCTGGCTGGGAAAAGCAGAGCTGTGTGGGTGGTGGGCGTGCCCTGCCCTGTGAGCACCTGCCTTTCTCCCAACGCTGTTGGTCCACGCTGTTGGTCCACGTTGCTGCCTCACCTGGCACATCCCAGCAGCGGGTATCCACCATCCCTGTGGAGATTCCCTCTGGGGTGGGCACAAGGCACTGGGGTCGCAGCCTTGTTGGGGCAAGAATGATCATCCCAGAGGATCCGTGTCATGGCACTGTGGTACCATTCCCCTGATTGCAGTGTTTCCTGGAAGGAGCTTGGCTAGGAGATGGTTGGTGGGATGTGTTGTTCCTGCTGGAGGTGGGAGTCCAGGGGAATAAAGATTTATTAGGCAAAATGCCACCTGGGGGGCTGGCAGGGGCCAGAGGGGCACTGCTGTCAGCCATGCCTCTCCCACAGGTACCTCAAGTACCTGACCAAGAAGTACCTGAAGAAGAACAACCTGCGGGACTGGCTGCGTGTGGTGGCCAACAGCAAGGAGAGCTACGAGCTACGCTACTTCCAGATCAACCAGGATGAGGAGGAGGAGGAGGAAGAGGATTGAGCCCCGCCGCCGCTGACGGCCATTTTGTACAGTTTCACTTTTCTGCAATAAACAGCGGCAGAGTTGTTCATAGCCCGTGCTGGGTGGCGGCTGCGGGGGTCGGTTTTGGGGGGATTTGGGGGTTTTCGGGGAGCGGCTCGCGGGGGCGTGGCCGGGGGCGTGGCCCGGCGCGGGGGCGTGGCCAGGCTCGGGGGCGGGGCCGGGGCGGGGCCGGCTCTCGCCATCTTGGCGCGGAGCGGCCGCGCCCGGCTCGGCCCCGGCGCTCGGCCCGGGGCGGGCGCTGCCCCGCCCGCCATGCGGGGCCCGGCGGCCGCCCGGGACCTGCTGGACGACGCGGACAACGAGGAGGACGTGTCGGGTAGGCGGCGGTGGCGGCGGGCGGTGGGGCACGGGCGGGGCGGGGGCATCGCTCCCCGCGGTCCGGCCGTGCCGCGGGCGGTCCCCGCTGTCCGCGCTCCGGTCCGTGCCCGCTCCTCCTCAGGAGCCGGTTCCCCCTCGGGCCGTGCCTGAGGGCCGGCTGGTTTCCCGGGATGGGCTTGGTGCAGCGGTGCCCACCCTGTCAGACCTAAACCAGCACAGCATGAATCAGTGAATCATGGAATCACAGGGTGGTTTGGGTTGGGAGGGATCTTAAAGACCCAGTTCCACCCCCTGCCATGGGCAGGGACACCTTCCACTAGAGAAGGATGCTCCAAGCCCCGTCCAACCTGGTCTTCAACACTTCCAGGGATGGAGCATCCAGAGCTTCTGTGGACAGCCTGTACAGGGCCACTCAGAAGTCGAGAGGGCAATATGTCCTGACCGCCCCAAAGTGGTGTTGCTATGTGAGCTCATAAATCAAAAATAAAGATACAGGCCTGAAGCCGTGTGGAAACTAGCTGGGATGCACTGGGTTTGGGGAGATAATGGTCGGAAGGGGAGGTGTGCAGTAGCTTCAGTACCTCTGCCCAGGGCCTGAGCTGGTGTGAGCAGCCCGGAGCAACCTGGCACCTGTGGCATCCATTTTCCTCATGAACCCTTCCTTCCTCCTCCACTGCCTGTGTTTTTGTGAGCCCTGCCTGGGGGTCGGAAAGGTGAGAGCCAAGTGCTCCCCCCGTGTCTGCAGGCCCAGGTCAGCAGGAGCAGCAGCACATGGGATGTCCCCATGGCCATCTCTGAGAGCGCACTGTGGGCTGCCCACACCTCCGTGCTGGGTGTGAGTGGCAGGAGGATCTGGGCATGGGAAGAGCTGAGGCTGGTGCTGCTGAGCAAGACCCTTGAGGGGCACCAGTGGGGCAGCTGCCAGTGTGAGGGTCTGCAGGAGAGGCCACAGAGCTTTGTGTCTTGTGGCCTGAAGCTGCTGCACTGGTGTGCTCCTCTGTCATGGTGAGCATGGTGTCCTGTGCCATCTGTCCATGTGAGCTGTCCCTTTTGTCCTCAGAAGAAGATGATGGGGTGCTGGAAGCATTGGATGAGTTTTTTGCAGAAGACCAAGTTGTGGTACAGAAAAAGAAGAAATCCAAGAAGCTGAAAGATGGCAAGGCTGCCAAAATCAAGAGGAGGAAGAAGGAGGTAACTGCATTTTCTCACACTGAGCTGAGGTTCCTCAGCTGTGGTGCAGAGGCAGCAGCTCAGAGTGCTGCTGGCAAGCACCTCTTGGGTCTCTGTGGGTTGAAAGGAGGGTCATTATTGGGGCTTTTCCTCACTGAGCAAGTGCTCTCCCAGCCTGGGGAGGTCACCCTCTTGCCCCTGGTGTATCTTTTCCAGCTTGGCTGCTCAGGAGTGGCAATGTCCCCTGCCAGTGGCCTCTGGGGAGCAGCAGGGGGGAGAAGGGGCCTCTGTGCCTCCTGGCAGTGCTGCA